CCAGCTGCCATGCTGCGCCCTGCCACAGTCACTGCAGGCAGGTCGTTGTGTCTTGGGGAAACCTGGCTGGTAGGCTGGCGGGCATCGGTGGCCAGGGAGGCTAGCAGGGGCACCTTCTGTGCTGCTTAGTGGTCACCAGCGCTGGGCAGGAAGTCTAGCCCATGACCTGGTGGGTTCGGGCAGGGCTCAGAGGGCTCGCCCAGCCCTGTCCCCAGGGAGGTGGCATCCTACCCTTGTTCCCACACCCTCCTGGCCTTGTGTCCTGTGGGTCCCTCCCACCTCTGCCCCTGGGGGCCCCAGTTCTTGGATTAGTGGGTGCTGGTCCATCCCCTGCCTCTACCAAACCATGAGCCTGGGGCTTTGGGTTGAGTTGTCAGCCATTGCTTGTTTTGCCCTGGGGCCTGGAAGTGCCCGCTAGAGCTTGTCCCGTGACCCAGGCATTTCTCTGTCCTTCCCGCTAGTGGCATGTGCAGTGGGGTCTTGGCACTGGGCACATTGCTGGAACCTCTTCAGGATAAACAGTGCCACCTGGCTTCTGTCGGCAGAGCTCCCCACAGCAGGATGAGCTGCCCTGGCCCCAGACCCCTGAGGTGAGGGCCCAGCCCTCAGCTCCTCCCCCTGGGCCTCTGCCCTTGGCTGCTGTCCTCCACGGTCGCTGCGCCTCCGGTGCCTGGAGTGCCTCCGAGGCTGCCACCCCTGGGTGCTGCCTCCGTCCTGACCATGTCCCTCCCACCTCTTCCCCACACGGTTCCCTTAGAGCTGGCTGCCGGGTGGGCCTGTCCTGCCCTCCCCTGCCCTGCCCTGCCCTGTCCTGTCCTGCTGCTTTGTCTGCCTCATAGACCTGAGTGTGTGTGGTATCTCCACTCTTTATCTCGGTTCTTTCCGCATTCACGGTGGAGCGCAGGAAGCCAGGCCACCCCACCTTGGTTGCCATGGTTTCCACACAGCCATAGTTTAAATTCCAGCTATGACATTTTCCAGGCAGAGTCGGAGAGCTGGCCACACTCCCAGTGGGCCGTGGGAGGGGCGGATAGAGGTCAGCACCCTGCCGCTGCCCAAGTGGCTGTCCAGGGGCCTGTCGTGGGCTGTAGAAGCTGAGTGAGGCCTTGGCCTCTGCACCTGCATCATGGGCCCTGCGAGGCTCACCTGTGTGAGGAGAGCAGAGGCACCGGGAAGGGGCCCTGCCGTGACAGGACCGCAAAGCAGGTGACCTAAAATGACCAGGAATCTTCCTCGGGCTGGAGGCAGAAGCCTGCAATCCAGGGGTTGGCACGGCGTGGCCCTGCTGAGGGTACAGAGGGGGCCCTTCCTGCCTCCGAGCGTCTGGTGGCTTCTGGCCATCCCCTCTTGGCCGTGGCAACATGGACCCAGTCAGTCTGCCCTGGTTGTATGGCCGTCCTCCTGTGTGTCGTATTGGAACTTCCTGTTCTCATACTGACGTCACTTCCTGGATTAGGGCCCCTAATGTGATCTGGCCTCATCTTATGGAATCTCATCTGCAAAGATCAGGTTCCAATAAGATCACATTTATCGGCACCGGCAGTGAGGGTTGAACTTGTCTTTTTGAGGGACGAAGTTCAACCTGGGCTGTGAGTTCTCTGGGGTTCTGGCCGGGGTCTCTGCTCTGGGTTGCCACATTTTCCTTGGCCTGGCTTCCGCGGTGGCACAGCCACCTGCAGGGGGAGGTGGCTGCACCCTGAGAGCCGCAGCTGCAGGTGCTCCTGGGAGGGGTGCCGGCAGTCTGCCTCCGCATGTGACAAGGAGATAGATTGCTGCAGGTCGTGCAGAGGATGTGAGCCTTAGGCTATGTGTTGAAGTTTTAAAGACCACAGCTGGTGTAGAGCAGGCTGAGTTAGTCCGGAGTCTCACGGCCCAGTTGCCAGGGCCCCTCTCTGGGGGCAGCAGAGGTCCTCTTTGTTCCACAGCTTGCCTTCATCATCCAACAACTCCTCTCAGCAGGCTCTTGCCCTGTGCCCCGGGCTGAGCTTGCTCCGTGTGTAGTTTCCCTCCTCTGCCCCTTAGTGGTGGGCACTGTGAAGCTGGGCAGCCTCGTCTCACAGGCAGCTTTTGGACACACTTGGTGTGTGCTATGTGGCCTCCTCTGGAGGCATCGTCTTCCCACGGTGCGGTGTCAGGGCCGGGCACACCTGTGCACTTGGGTTGTGTCCGTTATGCTGCCCCATATGGCGATGGTCTCTCTCTTCAGATATCGCCAGGGAGGGGCAGGGCAGCAGGGGTGAGGGAGGCAAGTTCAGAGCCTGAAGTTCAGGGTTCTTTGTTTCACAGACAGGAATGCCCTGGAGCATCCTAGCCAGGTCCCCAGGTCCCTGTTGGGACCAATCTCCTTTGGGGCAGCTAGGGGAGCAGTGAGTTTAGGACCCAGGCCGAAAGTGGAAGCTGAGTGTCACCCCGACCATCCTCCTGAGCGTGTGGCTTCCCGCCTTCTTCCAGAGTGGGATCCAGACTCCCCAGCCCTGAGGCCTCGTGTGGCCGCTCCTGGCTCTGTCCGAAGCCCATTTCATCCTTGCTCTCCCGAGGTCGCTCTCGGCCTCCTGGCAGTGCCCCTTCTTGGAGTGCCAGCCACCTTAGGCCTTCACCCTCTCCCGGGTCTCCCTCCAGGGCCCGGCCAAGGTTGCATTTCCTCCGGGAAGTTTGCTAGAGTCTGGGGGTGGCTGCTCTGCTGTTCCTGAGGGTCCTTGTCACCAGCCTGCTGCCACGCCAGAGGGGATGCTGCCGAGGGCCGCAGTATCCCTGTGCGTGAGCCTTGGGCCCAGCCAGGCCTGGTTGTCCAGGGATGACTGGACAGATGTGCTCTGGGACGGGAGCAGCTGGGACAGGAGGGTGTGGCGTGGTGAGTCAGCATCCTGGTTTCCTGTGGCCACCTGGTGAGCTGAGGAGGCCACCCAGGAGAGGCCGCCTCTGAGCCAGCCCAGGGCCAGCAGGCTGGGGAGAGGAGACTCGGGCAGGCTTGGCTCTAGCAGCACACCTGGACCCGGTCAGCCCGGGGCCCTGCCTGAGCTGCCCTCTGAGGTGATGGGCCTGTCACTCAGGTGCCACCCTTCAAACACTGGGAGTTTCACTTTGAACTTGGGGCCTCCAGCTACCCTTGACTGCCCGGAAGTTTTACATCCTGGACTCCTCTTCCCAGGGCCACCCTACCCCCTGAAGCCCCTGAAAGGTGCATGTCCAGTGTCCCCTCCCAGTATTCGCTTGCTGTGCCAGGGCCTCTCTTTTCTTTGTGACCAGTAAAGAGGAACAGGAAACGCTTCTTACACCCACGGCATTATAACAGCTGGGGAAGTGAAAGCTCAGATGAGGGTCCAGATTCTCCTGGCTCCCCCTTGCTCCCACACCTGCCTATCCAGAGATGGGCTCGGAGGGAGCAAGGTGGGCGCTGGCACAGCACCCAGGAGGGTGATGAAGGATGCCCAGGAATCGGGCACTAGGTGCCACTGGCTATGGGAGAGGCACTGATTGGGGAGCTGACCGGAAGCAGGAGTGAGGTCTTTTGGGGACAGGTTTGTGCCCGGATAGACAGAGCTGAGGGCATGTTCCAGAGTGGCCAGTTGGCCTTTGGTGGAGGACCACAGGGGCCCGAGATGACCAGGCTGGAGGAGGAGCAGCCACACAGCCTGGGTTCTGGGTGTGGACTCCACGGGTCAGTACCAAGTGAAAGGGTCCCTGGAAGAGGCACGGGGTGTTGGCAGTGTATGGTCCCAGGGCCTGTCCAACCCCAGGGCCAGAAGCCACGCTGGTGTCACCTGGCTGCACGATCCAAGGGCAGGCAGAGGCACCCCGGGGTGACTTTGGGTATAGGTGCAGGCGGCTGTTGGTCACATGAGGACATCCGTGCCACTTGCTGTGAAGGTGTCTCCTGGCTCTTTCTTGGAGCTTCTGACCCTGGATCGGCCAGGGCTGACTGCTGAGTGCTTGCTGGGTGCCCCTGGGTGCTGCTCCCCCCTGTATGTGGCTGGCTCACTTGCATCCCTGCAGGCGAGGCGGGACTCATTGCCCCTGCACAGGCGAGGAGCTAGAGGGATGAGTTCTGGCTGGTTGCCCTGGGAACGGCTGGCAGGAGCTGAGCCAGGCCGTGTGGCGCTGAGAGCCTGACCAGCTGGGCCTCCTGGCCGCGGAAGGGGGGATGCCAGGCTTGGGGTGCTGGTCTGGGGCCTGCATGGCCATCAGGGCAGAGCAGGCGGGCGAGCGCAGACAGGGCTGGACTCCAGGCACGTGCTCTCTGCTGTCCATCTGGGCCAGACCTGCAAAGGCGAGTGTACTGCGGGTGGTAGTCTGGGAAGGTGCCAGGCTCGTGGGCTGCCGTGGGAGGAGTGCCAGGTGGGCTGTTGGGATCCAGAGAGTTCATGGCACCCACAGCAAGGACAGCCTCTCCTCTCTGGGCCTGTGTGATGGTGTCACTGCTCTTCTTGGCCTCTGCTGAGCCCGGGCCCCTCGTCCCCCTCAGACGTTCCCCACGCTGTGGGCAGGCGAGAGCCAGCATCCCCTGTAACTGGGCCCAGAGGTCTTGAAGCTGTGCCTTTGTCTGGTTTTCAGAAGAGCCGTGGCCAACCTGTGTCCTGTGATGTCCACTAGGGCACGGTGGCCCTGGGATCGGTGCCAGTGTTGCAGTCTGTTTCTCGTGCTCATGAGTTTCAGCTGATTGCTAGTGAGCTGGCCTTGGGGCAGCCTGGTGTGTGCTGCTGAGGACCCGAGGCTTCACTGGAGGCCTTTGCTGGCCAGGGCAGGCCAGTGCTTGTGGCTGCAGGAGGAGAAAGTCCCTCAAGCCCTTGTCCTGCTCATGGACAGGGCCATGGAGCCCCTTCATGCCCTGTCAGTAAGGTGCTTGGCTTTGGCGAGTGACCATCCCGGGGGGCCCCAGCATGTGGTTCTTCTCCTTCCTCTGGGAGCCACTGGTCTCCTAGGGACCTCCCTTCCCAGGGGCACTGGGCACATGTTCTGTCCATCCTGGAGGCCTCATCTTGTTTCTCTCTCATCCATCCTAGGATCATGCGGCCAGACGACGCTAATGTGGCGGGCAACGTCCACGGCGGGACCATCCTGAAGATGATTGAGGAGGCCGGGGCCATCATCAGCACCCGGCACTGCAACAGCCAGAATGGGGTGAGCGTCGGGCCCTAGCCGGGTCTGGGGTCTTCCCCTCCCTGCCCATCAGGCCCTGGCAGCCTGGCTGGGGCTCGGACTCATGCAGGGTTGGGGCCCTGGAGAAGAGGGTAGGAAACCCCAGGGAACAAGTTGCCCGCCACTGCTGGGAGCTGGGTCCCACCTCTGTCCCCCCACGCCCCAGACTCTGGGGGCCGGGCCCTGCTGTGGCTCTGCACTGCTGCTTCCTGACCTGAAGCCCAACAGTGGTGCCCACCATGGTGCTGGCGCTCTGCCTGGCTTGACCCACACAGTGTATTGTGAGGTGGTCCCGCAGGACCTGCATTTCCTCTGCAGGCCGGGCAGGGAGCAGGGACGGGGCTGCATCTTGCTGGGGCAGTGGCACTGTGGGGGTAGCCACAGAGGGCACCGTGGGAGCCCATGGCCACTGGGGCCTCGGCCGGCGACCTGCTGTGCACTCTGGGCAGAGGAGAGTCCTAGAGGGCCCCGTTCCTTCTGAAGGCTGCTGAGCCTGGGCAGCTCTGACGCTCGGCGCCACTCTGTGGCGTTGCACTCCGCAGAGGCTGTTAGAACTAACATTTGTGGTCACTTTGTGTGGTGCAAGTCTAGTGGCACCATTTTTGTTTGGCTTTTTTTGGTACCGGGGATTGAACTCGGGTCCTTGTGCTTGTGCAGCAGGTGGCAAAACCACTGAGCTAAATCCCTGGCCCACCATTATTTGTTTTAACAGAATGTGCACACTTTGTGTCTCTGTGCCACATATGGGTGATTCTTGTAATATTTTAAATATTCTACCTGGTGTGGTGGTACATGCCTGTAAGTCTGGGACTCTGGGAGGCCGAGGCAGGAGGATTCCAAGTTCAAGCCAGGCCGGGGTGACTGAGCAACTTAGTAAGACCCTATCTCAAAAAGAATTTCTTTTAAAAAGAGAAGGGCTGGAGATGTAGCTCAGAGGGAGGGCCCTGGATTCGATTCCCAGTACAGTGGTACCTCGGTTCATGAACTTAATTCTTCCCACAATTCTGGTTGCTGAATTTGTTCCATGATTTGTGCAAAAAATTGAATTTATGGCTGGGGATTTAGCTCAGTGATTCCGCTGCCTGCCTCGATAGCGCAAGGTCCCAAGTTCAATCCCTGGTACCCCCTGGCCCCCAAATTAAATTTGCGAATCAGTTTTTGCAAAAACAAAATGAAACAAAAAACCCCACCCCAAACATTATTATCATATCTGCTTTGGTGTTCTATGATTGATTTTGTTTGTTTTTGTGGCAAGCACTGTACCCCTGAGCTGCACCTGCAGCCTGATTAGCAGTCTTCCATGGTACCGCTGTAGTGTTTTGGGGGCACCGTGGACTGTGCCCATGTAAGTCCGCAAACACCCTCCATAAATGCTGTGTGTCCTGCCTGCTCCGCAGCCACTCCCCATCTCCCTCTCACCCGCTCTGTTCTGGGACAGCAGTGTTAAAATCGGGACACTTAGTCACTATAATATCCTCCCAGGGTTCAGTTGAAAGGAAAGCCACAGGTCTCACTTGAAGTCCGAAGCTAGAAATAATTAAGCTCAGGGAGGAGGATGCATGGGGAAGCTGGTGAAAGCCAAGTCACGGTGTGAATCAAAGAATGAGTTCCGTGAAATCGGGAGTGCAGCTCCAGGGCACACACGAGTGATGGGAAGCCAAGCAGCCTCCTCGCTGATGTGGAAAATGTCTTATTTGTTTTATTTATTTTGGGGGGGCAGGGTCTTGCTATGTGGTCCAGGTTGGGCTCAAACTCACTACGTAGCCCAGGCGGGCCTCCAACTCATGGCAATCCTCCTGCCTTGGCTTCCTGAGTGCTGGGATTACGCCCGGCTCTCAAAGGACTCCTATAAGGGGCTAATTCCTGGCCATAGCGACGCGCAGAGACAGCTGGGACAAGTTGACCAAAGCCCTCCTGGGCGGAGAGGAGGGCTCAAGGCTTCAGGGGCAGAAGGGGCTGCAGACGTGGTGCAAATAGCAGGAGAACTGGGGTGAGGAGTGGAGCCTGGGATGTGACCTGATCTCTCACTGGAGCACTTGAGTGAGTGGAGAGAGGCTTCTGAGGACCAGTAAGGCGGGTGGAATCTACTCCTGGGAAGATGCCACAGACACCGATGAGGTGGCGGCAGAGGGTCTAGGTCAGCACAAAGCTGATGCAGCAGTTGCAGAACCTAAGAGGGTCGCTTCTAGCTTTCAGGGACATTCGACTTTCTGTGGGTGGGAGGACACAGGCAGGCAGCAGGCCTCATTGGGTTCTTACTTTAAGGAATCACCACTGTACGCTGGGTGTGGTGGTGCACACCTGTGATCCTAGCACTCTGGAGGCTGAAGCAGGAGGATCGCCATGAGTTTAAGACCAGCCAGGGCTACATAGTGAGATCAAGACCAGTCTGCACTACATAGTGAGACCCTGTCTCAAAAACTAAAGAAAAGGAAGAGAAATTCCCACACCACCCCAGCCTTCAGGAGCCACCCTTGTCAGATTGTCACCAGCAAAGGCTATGGGTCACCGAAGGCTCAGATATCATTAGCAGTTTTTAGCAATAAAGGTTTTTTTGAATAAAGTTTTTGTAATTAAGATCTATACATTGTTCTTTAGACACAATGCTATCACACACTTAATAGACTGCAGTATATGACAAATGTAACTTTTATAAGCACTGGAAGCCAACAAGCTTGTGTGACTTGTATGGTGATACTCGCTTCATTGCGGTGGCCTGGAGCTGTACCTGGGGGGGCTGAGAACTGTCCTAGAGTTTGGCAAGCTCAGCAGAGTGGCCTGGCAGCTCCCCGCTTCCTAGGTGGCATCTTGTCACCCTGTCCTTGAAGGGTGGAGGTGACAGGATGTCCCCCAGGGTCTTTGTGGGCGTCGTGGCCTCGTTCATGGGGGCTCCACACTCGTGACTTAAATCACCTCCCAGAAGCACGTGTCCAGCCCTGACCGTCCACCCTGGAGTGGAAGGCTATGCATGGAGACCGAGCTGTGCCGGGGTGATGAGCAGGGCTGGGTGTGGGGACCTTTGGGTGGTGGAGTGGGATTGGGTGCCTGCCTGTCTGGCTGGTTTGGTCTTGGTGTGGTGGTTAGGGTTTGGACTCTTTTGGAACCTGGCACATTGGAGAGCGCCCCCTGGTGGCTGTGGGGAGGACAGGCCCCAGCCCGTGAGGGTGGAAGTCTGGTAGACTCTTTGGGAGACCAATGGTGAAGGCCCCAGGTGGGCCTGGCCAGAGAGTATGGACACTGGGATGGGAGAGCCCCCAGGACAAGGGGCGGAGGAGCGCGAGGGAGGCCTAGGGGGCACTAGTGCCTCTGGTGGGTGTGGAAGCAATCACTGACATTGGCTAAGCACTTGGCATTTGCAAAGCTCTGAAGTGCTTTAGGGTGTGTAATTCTCACGACACCTCTTATGTTGTACGTTCTTATTCCCATTGTTCCATTGCACAGATGAGGAAACTGAGCCACAGAGAGGGCAAGGCCCTGAGGCTGCAGGTGGGAGGCTGGGCAGGAGGCTCCTGCTGTACAGGCCCTGCTGCTTCACACCCAGGTGCTGGGGGCCGTTCTGGCTCCCCGGCTGGAGGGGTGTCTGGTCCCAGCTCAGGAGGGTCTGTGAGCTCCAGGCAGCTGGGTGACACCCCCAGTCCTAGGTGGCTGGACGCTGACCACGGAGGGGCCTTGCTGGAGCCCTGGAGGGGTGACAGAGAGGTTGTATTGCTGTCCCTGGTTGCAGAGCAGCAAGCAGCAGAGCTGGGATTTGAACCCAGCACCCAGGGCTGTTCTTTTGGGCTGCTTCCGAAACTGCTGGCCTGGCCTGAGGTCCTGGGGTCCATAAGGAGCCCATTCCGGTCACCTGGGGAATAGAGCAGAGGGTGTTTCTGCGGCAGATGCTGAGCAGAGTGCTCGTGGCTCCTTCCTTCCTGGTGGGGCCGCCCTGTCCCTTACGCTCTGAAGCTGGGAGTTACAGGGTGCCTGGAAACAGCAGGACCAGGAGATGCCCGCAGGCCTGAGGCTCCAGCCTGATGTGGAATTTCCGGGTCACATCAGCCTCTATGGGGGGCCTGGCCTGGCCAGCCCAGCACCCAGCTGCGTCCTGGGAAGCAGCTGCTCAGTCACTGTGGGCTGAACTCGTGCTGCCCGGACCCGTCCCAAAGTCGCACCAGCCCGGCCTCGCTCGTGCTGAGCAGGAAAGCTCCTCTCCTGGGCTCTGTGAGCAGGAAACCAGGCTGGAGTGAGACTCACAGGGCTGCCATTCCTCCGTGTTTCCAGCCAGGAGGGAATCGGGCTCCGGGCTTTTAGGTGGCCTTTGTACCAGGCCTCCCGTGATGGCTCTCGTGTCCCTCTGCCAAGCCTGGCGGGCACAACTGGGAGGCCCTGGCACAGAGCTACCAGAGTTCAGAGTTCCTCCCAACCGACAGGGACTGAAGGAAAAGTCTGGTCCTGAGCTTCTGTCCCCTCCCACCCTCCCCGAGGCCCGGAACCTGCCCTGGACTCATTCCTGCATGGGCGCCGCTTGCCAGTCAGGAACGCTGGCTTCGTTCCGCTCATTGCTTTGCCAACAGTGCTTGGAAGGCTCTGGGGAGAGATGCTGCCAGACCGAGCGGCGGTGGCCGGCCCTCCCCCTCCTTCCATCCACTGCCTTTCCAGTTGCTGCCAGTGGGTGGCGGCATCGCCCCACCCGTGCGGGTCGCCCTTCCGGGTCCTGCACCCGCGCCTGCGCGCTGTGGCTGGGCGGGGCAGCCGGGGTTCGCGGGTCTGACTCTGACAAGGAGCTCTAGCCGCGCCAGTACAGCCTCCCGCCCAGCCCCATCCGTGTGCCTTGCCTGGACCGTCCGTCCCCGTGATGACTGTGACAGTGGCGCTGTCACAGGCTCCCCAGCCTGAGCGAGACCCACCTGGGAGGATGAGACCCACCTGGGAGGATGAGACCCAGGTCCCAGCTTCGGAGAGGCAGGTCCAGGTTGGGGACGCACCGGGGAAGGTACAGGCTGGGGTGGGGGGGCAGGCAGGGTGGGGAGGGTACAGGGCACAGCCGGGGGCTCAAGCTGGCACCTGTCACCACGTGACGTTGGGCAGCTTGCCCCCTGCCTCGCAGACCACCCCACCACAGCCAGGGGCAGCCCGAAGGGACTCGTCCACGACCCAGCATCCTGTGCAAGGTGATGCCTTCCAGCCCAGAGTCATCAAGTGCCAAACAGTCTGGTGCTGAATGGAGGCCCGCGTTGTCACTGCCTGTGTCATTTGACTGGCAGAGATGAAAAATAAGTTCATTCTGCCTGGCATGGTGGCACATGCCTGTAATTCAGCAGTCTGGGAGGCTGAGGCAGGAGGACCACAAGTTCAAGACCAGCCTGGGCAATTTAGGAACTTAGGTAGACGCTCAAATTAAAAAGAGCCGGTGATGTAGCTCAGCCAAAGGCCCGGGGTTCAGTCCCTGTACTGCAGGGTGACCTGAGGTCCTGAAGCTGTGTGGGTCACTGCTGGCCTTTGGGAACCTGTAACAAATACTCACCACTTGGACCTACAAGTTATCCCAAGCGCGGAAAGTGTTTTCCTGCACAGCGTTGTTTATAACAAGTGATAGTGGAGGTTGACCAGATCTTGGGTAAGAGAGTTCAGTCCTCTTTGGCTGTTAAAGGTAGCTTGCAAAGTGGCACCGTGGAAGAGTAAGGAGAGGCCCTCCATGCTGTGTGGTCGGCTGGTGCCCCTCCCAGATTCCTGTGTGAAAGCCTCCCGCTCAAGATGACGTTCCACAAGGCAGAGCTTTGGAGGTGATTGGGTCAGGAGGGTGGAGCCCTCACGAAGGGCTCAGAGTCCTCGCCCCTTCTGCCTCACGAAGACAGCTGCACCTCGCCATTGATGACAGCAGCCCCTCAGCGACACTGAATCTGCTGGCACCTTGGTCCTGAACTTTCTGCCTCCAAACCTGTGGGATTAGATGTCAGCCAGGTCCTGGTATTTTGTTCAGCAGCGCGGATGGACTGAGACATTGACCTGTATGGTGCTCTCCAGGGTGAAGGAAGGGAGAGGACTGGGTGGGGCGGTCTAGCTGCGGCTGGCACGTGGGAGGCACAGTGTGAGTCTGAGGCCGCAGCTTATCAGCCGCAAGTGAACTGCGGAGCAGGTGATGGGCCACACCTGGTGCCAGGTGCCCTTTGTTCCTTTCAAGTGTTGAATCCCGAGAACGTGCTGCCCCAATGAAGGAGAAAGTAAAACTTAAAACTGAATAATGAGGGTTGGGGATGTAGCTCAGTGGCGCCGTGCCCGCCTCACAAGTGCAAGGTCCTGAGTTAAATCCCCGATACCGGAAAAAAAAAATGAATAATGATGACAAAGAGCACGATCCTGACAGGCAGATTATGTTTCCCACATTGAGTGAGAAAAATCAGAATGTGGAAGTGTGTGTTTAAGTTTTGCTCAGCTGTGTAAGCCTAGGGTTCAATCCTAGTGACCCTGGTTTAATCCCCAGCACCACACAAGTGTGCACATGTGCACGAGTACACGCACACACACACATACACACACAGGCTGTGAAACAAGGACCCAGGCAAGCAAACAAATGAGCCCCCATTCCTAGGAACAGCCTGGGAAGATCTCACTGTAGTGGAGACCCTCGTGCTGGAAGGGAGAGGCCACGCCCTCCCTCCTGCTCCGGTCCCCAGATCTGCACCAGTGCCCGCGTGTCTCTTCCACTGTCGTTAAGAGGCAGTGCGTGTTGATGTTCGCTGCCTGCGGAACAAGGAAGCTTCCGGTCACCACCTCACCTCCTGGCTGCTCTGGCGTAGCCTCGGGGTCCATGTCCTGCACTTCTGTGTTTGGGACTCTGTTGTCCGTAACCTGTGTCACTCACAGCGGGTTTTCATAGCTGGGACAAAATTCCCAGGTGCCCCCAATTTAAAGGAGCAGAGGTTTGTGTTTGCCCACGTGTTCAGCCCATAGGTAGCTGACTCCAAGGCAGAGACAGGGTGGCAGCGGGGCCCCGGGAGCAAAAGGTGGTCAGCGCCTGTCGGCAGCAAGCGGAGAGGAGGGCTGGGATGAGTCTCTCCCATCCCCACCTCCCGCAGCACCGAACCCAGGAAGGCTTCTGCTGGACCCAGTCCACTTCCGGACATGTGCAGCTCCTGGGAGACATGGTAGACCTAAAGCGTAACCGTGGCCAACAGAACCAGAGGCAGCTGGGGGAGGGCAGTGTGTCCAGGGCAGGGTTCAGAGAGCTGGGCCAGGCTCGCCGGCTCATGGTGTCTGGTCTTGCAGGAGCGCTGTGTGGCTGCCCTGGCCCGGGTGGAGCGTACCGATTTCCTGTCGCCCATGTGCATCGGTGAGGTGGCACACGTCAGTGCTGAGATCACCTACACCTCCAGACACTCTGTGGAAGTCCAGGTCCACGTGATGTCCGAAAACATCCTCACAGGTAACTTCTGGCTGCCGCCACCAAGCTGCCTGCCTGGGGTGGCGGTGAGGGTGTGGCCAGGGGCTGCCCGTCCTCTGGCCTCCTGCTGTCCCTGCCCATCCCTTCTGTGGCCTGGAAGCTGTGGGCTCTTCAGGGCTTGCTGCTGCCCCTCGGAGGGCCTGGGGCAGGGATGGGCAGGAGCCTGGCTTGGGCAGGAGCTGGCATGAGAACCTCTGCCCAGGTTGGTGCCTCTGCACTCTCCGCCACTGCAGTAGTCATGGAAACCCCTTTCTTCCCTCAGTGCCGCAGGAGAGCAGGGCTCTTTCTCACATGCACTCACGCTGCTTTTTATAACCCAGCTGGTGACGGGGCAGGCAGGCCCCTCGCCCCCTCTGGCTGCTCACTGCCACCTGTGGTCCCGCACGGAGTAGAGGCTCGGTCATCCCCTTTCCTTTCTCCCGCCCCTGGTCCTCAGAGGTGGTGGCTCTGTGGACCTTGGGCTTGGGGCTCCCTAAGGGGCTCAAGCCTTCTTCCCCTGCAGGGCCGGGAGCACAGTTATCCAACCAGGGCTGGCAGTTATGGCACAGGTCGGTCCAGCCGAGAGAGGCCTGGTCTCCAAGAGTCCCAGGGGCTCTGTGTGCAGCAAGCCCCCTGGCCTCGGGTGACCCTGAGGTGCTGGACTTGGGTTGTGGCACAGGAAGGGCCAGCTGTGCGCACTGTGCCAGTGCAGGCGGCCCCCTTGCACCCTGCGGTGGCCTGGGCCTTCCTCTCTAGGCCCAGCTGTGATGGCCTTGTTTGGGGTGCACAGAGGTGTCCTCAGGCTCGAGTGGGTCCAACCCCTGTCCCCTCAGTGGAGAATCCAGGCATAGCCTAGGTCTTGGCCTCCTCCTCCTGGTGGCCTCTGTGGTCTAGTGCCCAGCACTGACTGGACCCCACACTCCAAAGCTGGGCCTGGTGGCACCTGCCTGAAATCCCAGCCTCTGGGAGGCTGAGGCAGAAAGATCAAAGTTCAAGCCCAGCCTGGGTAACTTCACCAGACCCTGCCTTGAAATAAACTTTAAAAATGAGTAGCTAGCTGAGCCCCAAGGCCCTGGGTTCAGTCCCCGGCCCGCAGAGGACCTTCACCGTTCAGGATCAGAGAGGACGTCGGGTGGGCGTTACCCATCTCGTGGGTGAGGAGATGGAGGTGCGGAGGAGGCAGGCCTTAGGTTCCCGTCTGTCTGTCCCAAGCTCAGCCTCCCAGTGGGGCCGGGCAGTGTGGACTCGGAGCCCAGGGGCCTGGCCGTCTCCGCGTCCTTTTGCCCCAGAGCCCACTGTGATGGCTGGGCTCCCCATCTTCCTCTGCGCTCATGGGTTCTGCCGCCTTTTCCTGGGCTGTGCGCGTGTGCAGCCTCCGTCTCCGCCTTGACGCCTGGCGTCGCTCTACCCTCGAGTGTCTGTCTGCCCAGGAGTCCCCACAAGTGGAGCCGTGAGGCCTGACCCCCACGCTGCACTGAGCACACAGTGAGCCCTGGCTGAGTGGGCGAGGGCCACTGAGACTGGAGGGGCACAGGCTGGGGGACAGGTAGCGCAGATGAGGCAGTATGGCGGTGCGGGTGGCGTGACAGTGCCACGCTCCTTCTCCCCAGGAGGCAGTGGCGCTCCTATGTGTCCCTCCCGAAAGGTGGTGGCCAGGTAGCGGAGGGCACAGCCAGGCGCACACGGCAGACCTGACCCTGAGGTCCGCTCGTTCCTCTCCTTGGTCACAGCATTACACTAACAGGAGGTGACAGACTCTGCCCTGGCTGCGAGCACAGCTGGGGCCTCTCCCGAGCTGGAGACGTCAGTCAGTGCTGCAGATCTGGCGGTGGTTTTGTTAAGTGATGGCGAACGTGCAATTAGCATGTTCGCCTCCTGCTCGGCATGTTCATTTAGGTCTGGCGGGCCACTCGGGTTTCCATGGAAACCTGCTCGGCAGCCTGCCTCGAGCTGAGTCCAACAGGAAATCTTTATTCCCAAGAGCAGGTTGTCAGATTCACTCTGAGTCAAAGCACGGTGGAAATATTTTCCCATAGTGTCTGCCCGAGGCCCCCAGTAAGCAGTGCTGACCTGGGGAATAGCGCCTGGCCTGGCGGGGAGGCAGGAGCGGCTCTAGGCCCCTCTCTGATCAACACCTTCGATTTGCGCCCTGGGGCTATGTCCAGCGGGAGCCTCAGGGAAGCCCGGGTCCCTGCAGGACGACAGGGTAGCGGCACCTGGTAGCGGCCACCTCCTTGGGCCTTGGGGAAGGTGCTAGCTGCTCCCTGGCACCCGCCTTGTTTGTCGTTTCCTGGAGTCTCATGACTGCTCTACCCTGGGAGTCTTCCAAGTTGCAAAAGCCACCTTTTGAAAGAGTCCTTGGGAATACTCTGGAATGTCTGGCTCCTAGGCGACCTGGGTCTGCACTCAGAACAGTATCAAGTTTCCGTGTGACCCTGGGCAAACCCCTGGGCCTCTCTGGGCTTCAGCTTCTCCTGTATGAGTGAGCATGGACCAGTCTTCTCCAGACCTAGACAGACTCCCTGCTCTGCTCAGTGCCCTAAGGGGTGGCACTGGGAGGTGCCAAGCCGAGTTGGCAGTGAGTCCCAGGGTCAGGTGTACAGGCCTCCTCTTGTCCCCGCCCCCAGGTGCCATCCTCCTTCCTGGGCGTTCCTGTCTGGCAGGAGTTCCCGCCAGGGTTGGGCAGGTGGACAGGATTGTGGGAAAAGCTGTGGGTGCTGATACTTGGGGGTCATGAGTGCACAGGAGCTGGCCCAGCCCGCCCGGGACCCGACCCCCAGCATTGGGCACAGTCTGTCCGCCCCTTCCAGGTCCTTCTGCCTGGGAGGCTCTTAGAGGCCTCTGATATGTTTTCTTTCTCTCCTTTCTTCCTGCCTGCCTGCTGTTTTTTCCTTTCTTGTTTTTTGAGCCAGAGTCTCACTGTGTAGTCCAGGCTGGCCTTGAGCTTGCAGTCCTCCTGCTTCAGCCTCCCGAGTGCTGGCATCATAGGTTGTGCCACCACATCCAGCTGTCAGCATGCTATCGTAACCAGACTCTCTTCCTGTCAGAACGCCAGGTGTGAGCCCGTGTTTGGACCAGCCAGGCTTACTGCTGTGTCTGGACGGAGTGGGCTGGGGTGGGACTGGGGCCCGGGCTCCAGGGGCCAGGGTTGGGGCCCGCACAGCCTGTGTCACGGCCTGTGAGTCTCCAGTTCTACGTGCACGCTTGCATGATGGCCAAGACTCTGGGCCGGAAAGCTGGAAAAGACCTTGGGCCTGGGGAGCATCGGAGCCCAGCCTGGTGCACCCCTCCCCAGGCTGCTGCTTGCTCATGTGGTTTTCTTCTCTTAAGGAACCAAAAAGCTGACCAATAAGGCCACCCTGTGGTACGTGCCCCTGTCCCTGAAGAATGTGGACAAAGTCCTCGAGGTGCCTCCTGTTGTGGTAAGGCTGTCCTGCGCTGGCCCGGGGCGGGGTGTGGGTGGGAGGCCCTGGGGAGCAGCACACCCCGAGCAGGGCCGCCAGTTCTTTCTCAGAGGAACACAGCAGGGAGGCTTCGTCTGTGTTGCTTAACTCACTCGGAGAACGTGCGTGTCAGCTCCCAGAAGCTGTGGGCAGGTGTCCCTCCGCTCTGCAGGGCCTGCATGTCACACCCCTGAGCAGAGAGGAGGCTGGCATTGCCATGGGGATGGGACAGGGACCTGTCCTGCCTGGGCCAGGAGAGAGCAGGGTATCCTTTCCACTCCGGGCACAGCAGATGTGGCAGCTTGGGCCCTGGGGTGGCCTTGCTGCCGTTCCCTCGTGGCCCTGCTGGTGTCACCACTGCCTCTGGGTTTTGCTGAGGACAGAGCCATGGGCAGCTGTGGGCAGCAGGTCTGGACCCCGTCCGTACTTCTCGGGCAGGCCCACGCTTAGAAACAGGGTTCACCACTCCCCGGGTGCTCCCGGCCACCTCCTCCCATGCGCTGGGTCTGTAGAGGTGCGAGGGCAGCCATGACGGTGACAGATCCTGCGCTTGCTGCCCCTGGGCGGCTGGGGCTGCTCCCTGCAGTGTAGACGGCTGAGTAGATTGGCAGCAGTGGGCACCTGCTCCTCCCGGCCCCAACCCCACCAGTGAGCCCGGGTGCTCAACACCAGCCTTCGTTCCTTTCCCGGTGTCCTGTCCCCTCGCAGGGACAGGCTTGGGTCTGTCATCCTCGCCTGCCTTCTCCACCATGGGGCCTTCACATGGTCTTCTCTGGATTCTCACGGTTGGGTGTAGGGCCCATCCCGTCCCTGTGACTTCATCTTACTATGTCTGCAGAAAACCAGTGTCCAGAAACCCCGACTCTGAGGTTCTGGGTGGACCTCAGTTTTGGGAGATGCTGTCCACCACGGGAGGTTGCCCCTGCGGCCACGCCCGCCCCAGCTCCCTCTACCCCTCTTCCTCTCTGGCCTCGACAAGGGTGGAAATGGTGTCCGTTTTCAAGCAGCATGTGCGGCTGTCAGGCCCCAGACGGCTAGGCTGCCCTCCTGGAAGCTCAGGAAGCCCTTGCCCTGCTCCTGCCTTCTTGCTGGTCGGGGCCAGGTAGCTGGAGCTGCTGGGGTCGTGGCAGTGGCCCGGGGTGTGAGATCTGGGCTCCCTTGGCGCATGTGGCCTGGCTGTGGGGAGAGGGCCTCAGCACGCCCTTGCCCCACCTGCCCACCTGGTTGTGGGTTCCTCAGGGGCCCCTGTAGCTTGTTCCTCCCTCTGTGTATGTTGACCAGACATCAATACCGACTCGGCTCCGGTAGGGGCCCGTGTTGGAACTGGGCTGCTGTGCCGCTGGGGCTGTGGAGGGGAGTCTGCACTGCCCCCCAACATGCTGGGGGCCTCAGCCAATGGAATGTAGGGCGTCTGTTGTCACTGGGCCGGGGACCCCGGCAAGCACGGGTTCCTCTGTCTCCAACTGGCATGTCGCATGCCAGCGCCCGACTTAGGCTTCCCGGGCTGCCCAGTGTCCTCCTTTCCACGGGTGGCCACCGTGTGTTCAAGACAACGCACATTTCTGTGTCTCTGCATGCGTGCATGTGTCACGAGCACGTGTACACATATGTGGATGGCACACGCATTTGTGTGTGGGTGTTTTCAGACATGTGGACTTCTCGGGTGTGTGCGTGGCCCTGGAGCAAGCCCGGCTGCTGACCGTGGGCAGTGCCCCCAAGGGTGCGACTTCCTATGATGATTGAAAGAGGCCACCAGGGTGGCTCCAGGGGCGCTGGGGGTGGACGCTGGTTTTTTGCAGATGTCTGACCAGGCTTGAGCGAGAGGCTCCCAGGCTGCCGTGTGGCTGAGTTTGAGCCGCGCTGTCTGCTGCTTCAGAGCCACTAAGCTTGATGAGTCCTTGGGGCGTCAGGTGCCAGCCTTTCATCAGGATGCTCCGCAGTTTGCATGGACCCCCCCCGCCGGCCCCCCGCCATGTTGGGACTGCACCGGGCTACATCCTCAGCCCTTTCTATTTCTTACAAAACTGCTAAGTTGTCCAGGCTAGGCTCTAACTTGGGATCGTCCTGTCTCGGTCTCCTGGAGTGGTGGGATTACAGGCCTGTACCATCATGCCTGGCAAGCAAAACAAAATAGGTCTTTTTTTTCTGTTTGTAGAGCTAGAAATGGAACCTGGGCCTCATACGTGCTAGGCAAGCTCTCCCATGCGCTCCGACCCAAACAGCTCTTTAAATGTGTTTTGTTTTTATGGACAGATGCAGTGGCTCGACCTCTGTGGATGCTCATTCTGTTGGGAATGTTAGAATGTAGTTTACTTGTGTAAGGGAGGTTGAACTGTCCCCTGTAGCTTCAGGAGCTCCCTGCAGCTTTTTCCCTTAACTCTTGGGTCCTTCCCAGCCTCTTCTGAGGAAGGGTTCTCCAGCCGGACGGGATAATTAAGGGGGTGGGTGGGTAATTAAGCCTGGAACAGTCCTGAGAACTTTTGGGGTGTTGGAGCTGAGCCCCAAGCAGGCACGTAGAGGGGTTTAAAAGTGGCTTACAAAGAGAAGGGGAAATATGAAGGATTAAGACACAGTGTGCACATGTGCCAACATCTCCAGATGAATGCATTCATGGTATATCGCAAATATGTACTAAGGAGAAAAAGAACAAAGAATTATCTAATAAAAAAAGTAGCTTAGAAAGGAGGCCTGAAACTGCCACCCGAAGGAACTTGCTTAGGCCCGAGGCGCTGCAGTGGGGCAGAGGAGCCCAGGACCCAGGTGGGAAGGTGAGGGAGGAAGTGACAGATGGGGACTGGCCAGTGGTCAGCACGGAGAAGGGGCCACGGGGAAGGGGCTGGCTGGTGGTCCGGAGAGAGACCACACAGCACCGCAGCCCCCCAGAGGGCCCCAGGTGGAGGAGGGGCATGTGTGTGTCCCCTGAGTGGGCCAAGGACGGGGCACAGGGTCGGTGAGTGACCCACTTCCTCCGTGAGAGGAGCCCAGCATCCCCCACTGTGTGTGGGGCTGAGAAGGCTCGGTGTGGTGTGCGTGTGCGGCCGATTTTACATCACATTTATTTTTAACTTCCTGAGTCAGACCCCCTGTGATGCCTTAGAAGAGCAGTGGGGCCTGGCTGGCTGCCCTGGGAGCTGCAACTTTCCTTCCAGGAATAGCGCAGGTACAAAGCCAAGGCAGCTGAAGGCTGCAGTGTGGTGCCGTTTTCCTAGTGACAACGGGGGGGGGGGGGAGCTGAACATTCAGGAATGACGGGTCAGTTGCAGAAATGACATCACAGCCATACAGCGAAATCATGGAATCGATGATGTGGAGCTTGTGTAGTGTGTGCCAGGCGGTTTCCTATTCATAGGCACAGAAGCAGTTCCGGGAAGGAACACGTGACACCCATAGCTAAGGGAGGACCGTCTGCACATGGTGGCTCCTGGCCTCAGGCTGAGGTCAGATGGCTCCCCAGGCAGAAAGAGGAGGGCAGAGGGGCCTGGGAGGGCGGAAAGCTGACCCCCCACCCCGGCAGCCGGGAACCAGGGGTGGGGGATGAGGGACAAGAAGGTGCCCTTTCGGTCACGTGCCACTGACCGCCTCCGTCCAGGACGCAGCCACTGATGAGCACAGCGTCCCACAACCCAGTCGGCTTCCATACGCGTGAGACTGGGCGACACTTCGGGCCTAAACCGCAGCAGGTCTCAACCCCGCATCCAGCTCAGCTTATCTCGGGACGGGTGGCCTGAGATTTTTGTCTGCTCTGAGCTGGTTACTTAGTAAATATTCGTCCCCAGACCAAGAGCACAGTCCCGGTTACAGGCTGGTGACACAGGCCCCCGACCCTGTGAGGCTGCACCGTGTTCCTGTCATGGGCCTGACCCTCTGTCTGGTTGCCCACAGTATTCCCGCCAGGAGCAGGAGGAGGAGGGCCGGAAGCGGTATGAAGCCCAGAAACTGGAGCGCATGGAGACCAAGTGGAGGAACGGGGACATCGTACAGCCCATCCTGAATCCAGGTACACGCTGATGACATGGGAGGGTGGGTGTCACCCGCATGCTGCCTCCTAGAGCCAGGCTCCTTGTCCCCAGGTTGCCCCCTGGCTCGAGCCAGGCAGGCCCCTCCCAGGTGTCACCCCAGGTGACAGCTGGAAGGCGCACAGCAGCTCTGCGAGTCCTGGTGTGGCACTGCTGCCCAGGGCCTCCATGACCTGGGGCACTGGGGACACTGGCCTAGGACACAATGGAGGAACTTTTTTTAGTACTGGAGATTCAACCCAGGGCCTAATGCATGCTCGGCAAGCACTCTACCGCTGAGCCACATCCCCAGCCCTTTTTATTTTTTATTTTTGTTTTTAGTACCAGGGATCAAACTCTGGACCTTGTGCTTGCGAGGCAGGGGTGGTGCCACTGAGCTAAATCCCCAGTCCCCCTCCCCTTTTGTTTGATTTTGACACAAGGTCTTGTTAATTTGCCCAGGAGGCCTTGAAATTGGGATCCTCCTGTCTCAGCCTCCAGAGTAGCTGGGATTACAGGCCCGAGCCATTGTGCCTGGTGGGCGCAGCTTTTTCAGTGCTGATTCTCGGCCAGCTCTGTCACACAGACTTCCCTCCTGAGCATGATTGCAGAGCTCACCCGTGGGCAGCAACCCTGTCGTGTGCACGGGCTCCATGTAGGTTGGGGTCTTCGCCTTACCCCGTCTTCCTGCCAGGCTCTCATGAAAGGTCCATGCAGATCCCAGATGAACAGGCCTCGGGGTGTTTTCCCTGCAGATTCATTCAGGTCAGCATCTGGGGTACAAGGGTCCCACCAGGAACCCAGTGAGGCTGCGGGGCCAGTCTGACCCCCCGGCTGTCCCCCCAGTAACAGGTACCACCGCTTTCCTCTGCACACGCGGAGATCACGTGGGATTGTGTGGGAACCCCTTGTGGTTCCCTGTCTCGCTGGAGATTCCGTGGACCCCTCCCCTCCTATGTCCCCCGGAACCCCATACCCCAGCCCGGGCTGCAGGGGTGTTTTGAGGATCTGATTGGGCTTTTGCTGCCCTGTGGTTGCTGCGCCTCAGCAGCTGTCTTGAGGCTCCAACCTGTTTCCCTGCGTGTTGCTGTCACCGGTGTGTGTGCTGGCCCTGCAGTCTGGGCACTGCCCCTGCCCGAAGTGCCCGCAGCCCCAGCCCTGGCAGGGGAGGGCAGGGCAGCAGGCAGATGGGAGTGAGGACTCGGGCGCTGTGAGAAGGGGCTGTTGGCTGAGCCCAGTGTCCTCGGGCGAGAGGCTGGCTGGGTGCACGCTGCCCCAGGCTCTGGCCTGTGAGTGAGCCTCACTTGGGAGGGGCCTGCAGGTGTGACGGGGTCACCGACCTGAGCTTGGGGCTCTTGATGGTCACCCTGGGCCCCACATCACAGCTTGCTGGCCTGGCTCTGAGCAGCGGGAGCCTGGGGAGGGCAGACTTGCGGGCTTCTCCACACTGGCCGCCTGAGAAATGAAAATTACTCAGCGTTTCCAATTTGCTTAAATTCTTTTAAAATTCCTCAGGAGATTCTCTTCTACTTGCTGTCCTCTGTTTGATTTTAAATCTGACACATATTTTTCCGAATCCATTTTTCTTCAGCGATACAAATCAAGGCTGACATTCGGAATGTCAGAATTTCCTGGCAGATTTCTCTGTGCTTTACTTGTGCTTTTTCTGAGAGAGGCAGGGCTCAGCCCCTTCCAGTGGAGCTGCATGTCCGTTCTCAGTCTTCGAGAACGTGTGTGTTTCTGTCTCCACTCTCCTCCCATCGGATGTGCCCACCTGGGCCTGGCTGGACTTCATGGTGTGGCCACATCAGTGGGGAGCAGCTGCTTGGCACTGGAGTCTCCCAGGGGTGGGTAGACACTGCACCCCCTTCTGTGGGAGCCTCAGCCCCACCCCTGCCTGCGACTGAAGCCAGAACAGGACCTGCTGTTGTTGCCTAGCAACCTCCTGGGGGACCTGGGCTTGCAGGTGTCTTGGGAACCGGTAAGCTCTGGGAGAGCAGGCTTCCCCTGGTGACTCATCTGCTGAGAGAACAGTTGTCCGCAGCACTCAGATTCAAGGCTGAGGGCTGCCCACCTCCAGCCGGGAGGGGATCTGGCCATGAGACATCCGCCCTGGGACTGCAGTGACATCCACCTCCAAGCTGCCCCCAGGAGTCCCCAGCAGGGTCAAGTCTTCCGGGGCTTGGCCCTGGGTCTGAGGTGCCTCCCCAGTGTTTCTGGCCGCCCGCTAAGCCCGATCCTGGTGCCATCGGCACATTCCGGGCACATGTGTGGTACAGGGAGGGAGGACGGTCCAGCTGGACCCTTCGGGTTTAAATCCCAGCTCTGCTGCCCTTGTGAGCCCTGAGCTCCCTGTGCCTCAGTTTCCTTGATGGAAACAGATGAGGGGCCCCCTGAAGTCACCGTGCTGTGGAGACCCTGTGATGTACTGCGTGTGGAACAGTGAAAATAGCTCCTGTCACAGCCAGCTTTTCCTAGTCAGGAGTGGGTTTCCCCCAACGGTGGGGATTTGGAGGCTCAGGCTCCTTCAGTTTTTTTATTTTTATTTTTTGAGAGAGGGTCTCGCTATATAATTCAGGCCGGCCTTGCACTCATGGTGATCCTCCTTCCTCAGCCTCCCAAGTGCTGGGATTACAGGCCTGTGCTACCACACCCGGCTTCCTTCCGTCTTAAAGTTGGCTGAGTCATGGATGTGGAGCACATGGGTACAGAGGCTAAACCATGACAACTGCCATCTTTAACAGGTAGCCTTGAGGTCACCTGAGAGGGGCACACTGCCAGTGGCGCAGGCATCTGAGGTTTGGGTGTGTCAGGCCGAGAGGGGCCCTGCAGAGGAGGCTGGGAAACGCCGGCCAGCTTCCTGCAGAGGAGGGGAGGGACAAGCGTGGCCATCAGTTGGCTGGCCCTGTCTGGGCCTGCCTTCTGTCACCACATCCCTGTCAACTCGGGTACAGAGGCAAAGCTCGTGCCCCTGTCGGATGGGGACCCACACTGGGGAGAGGGAAGGCAGCGAGCTGCCCAGGAGCCCGTGGGCCACACTGCGCTGGATCCCTCGGGGTCTCGGGCGCAGGTCCTCAGACTGAGGCTCCTCAGTCCTGGGGAATTCAGTCTGTTTGCTTCCAGCCAGTTCTGTGAGACGGTGACCACACCCAGTATCCCTGGGAACAAAATTCTGAAGTGCTTCTGCTCTCTTCAGCCCCTTTCCTCATACCACAGCTCAGGAGGCCTCTGGTTGGGGTGACAACAGGCCCCACCTCACAGCCCGGGTGACTGTGAGTGCTGTCCCCTTCAGTGCTCTATGGAAAGGTCTTATTAGGGAGCGTCTCAGTTCTGGTACCTGTGTGGCACTGATGGCTGTCACAGAGCCTGGTCTTGGTGGCTCACACCTGTCCCTAGCCGAACCTTTCATGTGCTCGCTCTGTCCCCTCAGTTACAGAGCGTGTGAGCTCACAGGCGCAGTCCTGGAGTGAGCTGGGGACCTGCTCCCTTGTCCACAAGAAGCGCTGTGAACCGAGGGTCATTAAATGCGGCCCAACTCGCAGAGTTAGTTCTGGGAATTGGAAGTTCATTATGGCCAAGGGAGGGAGGCCATGAGAATCTTGCTGCAAGTTCTAAGAGCATTAAGCCATTTGTAGCTTCACCAGTGTTCTCAAACAGCCCAGGACAGTGCGGGCAGCCCTTTCACCAGGAAGCTGATTTTTGTGCACAGTTTTCAGTCAAGTTTGACTGTGCAGGGAGGGTCGTCATGATGCGAGGTACACACGCTGCCACCCAGCTGTACCCAAAGTTTGAAATTTAAAAAAACTGTCTTTTGGGCTGGGGATTTAGCTTACTGGTTTCGCCATCTGCTGCGCAAGCGCAAGGACCCGAGTTCGATCTCCGGTACCAACAAACCCCCAAAAAACTGTCTTTTGTCATTGTCCACATGCAGGGCTCTTAGCTAATAAAACAGGTCCTGAGACAAAGCCGAACCGCAGCTGTAGGCTTCCAGTCGTTTTCTAGGACAGTTTTTTTCCTGTCCTTTATGGGGAGCACTGAGCAAGCCAGGGTCGCGCAGGTAGCCTTGGTGTTGGACCGACTGCTTCTCAGGTTCAAGCCAAAGGGAGACGGTGCTGGGAGTCAGGGCTGTGGGCTGGGGTGATTCTCTACTGGTTGGTGGCACAGGAACTTTGTCAGCGCCTTAGTGGCTCCTGAACTGCACCCTTTGCCCCATCTCCCAGCCCTGACCAGCTGTGCCGTGACTCGCACATATACAGCTGCATCTCCCTTAGCTGCAGGGGCCAAGCAATCTTTCCACTACTGAGGAGAATTATGCTGGAGAGCCAGGGAGGCGGGAGGAGCCCCCTGGCCTCCTTGGGGTGTCACTTCTCTTCCCAGTCTGTCAAGGTGTGGAATCAGTGAGGCCCAGGACAGCCGTGGTTGCCCTAGGTCCTGGGAGGCCTCTGGAGTGGCATCAGGGGAGCGAGCACCTCTTCCCTTAGGACAAAGCCACGGTCACTCGGGCTCACTCCCCCAGAGCTGCTGCCTGACCTAGACGCTGTCCCTGGGAGTGGTCCAGCCAGGCAGGCAGGACTGAGGAGCAGCTGACGGTCACACGTGGTAGCCGGAAGTGAAGCTGGGTGGGAGCCATCAGAGACCGGATGATGGGAACTGAGATCTTTCCCAGGGCCAGAGCTGGGCTCTGCTTTCTGATGCACCCGAGTGCCGAGTAGTGCCCGAGTGTCTCTTCCTGTGTCAGAGGCTCCCCACCCCGTGCTCCCCTCTTGAGTTCAGAGCCAGAGCCTCAGTCACCCCAGACTGAGCTTCCACAGTGGGGGAGCCTGGGTTTGCAGGTAAATGCTTAAGGCCCGACTCTTCTCCATCCTCCTTTCCCTGCTTTGAGACAGCTTGAAGCAGCTGCGCTTTTGGAAACTATGTATGGAGTGTGTTTGGGAGCCTGGCTGCATTCCGAGGCCTCCACGCTGGGGCTGAGCCGGGAATTCACTGCCTTGCAGTGAATTCTCTTGAGGCAGCACAAGGCCCGGGTCAGGGTGTGGGCAGCTCGCTTCCTTCTGGCATCCTTCACTCATCTTCCTTCTGCCTCAAGATCTCTTCTTAGAAACACTCTAGGCATGTTGGAGTAGGCCCCAGCCTGAAAACTTTATTTTAAATTCATTACCTTTTTATTTATTTATTTTTTTGGTACTGGGTATCGAACTTGGGTCCTTGTACTTGCAAGGCAGGCGGCAGAACCACTGAGCTAAATCTCTGGCCCTTCCTCATTACCTTTTTAAAGACTCTGTCTCAGCGAGTGCAGCAGTGATGGCGACCTCTACAGACAGGGCTTCATTGCAGCTGTTTAAGTGCAGCTGCTTACAGATGTTCCAAACAGCAGCATGGCTAGGCCGACCTGTGCCGAGGGACCTGCTGCTCTGAGACAGCCAAGCCTAGGGGAAGGGCTGACCCAGCCGGCAGAGGGAGGAGCCTGGGCCCTCAGGGCTGTGCCTTCCTGGCCCTGGTGAGGGCAGGGGGAGCACAGTAAGTTAGAGGAGCATGGTTGGTGCTTTGGTGACAGTGGACGTGAGGTTAGGGGCGTGACTGGGCTGGAAGAAAGTCACACACAGCCGGGACCTGTAGCCTGGACCAGGAAGGCTCTTGCAGGTGCTGCTGTCCCCAGACTGCATTGGGATGCACACCCCGAGGCTGCGCAGTGTCGGAGGGCGTCCTCTCCGCTGGCACAGTCCGTCGGCTCTGTCTCCATGGGTGGCGGTTGGCTGCCTTCAGCAGATGTCCTTCCTTTTTTCTTTTCCAGTACCGGGGATCAAACTCGGGCCTTTGCGCTTACCAGGCAGGTGTGGCGCCACCGAGCTGCATCCCCGGCCCTGCAGATGCCACTCTTGCAGCCTGGGTGGCCCTGGGCCGCAGGACGGGTCCACCCCGCCACTCACCCCTCTCCTCTGCCGTTCCAGAGCCCAACACCGTGAGCTACAGCCAGTCGAGCCTGATCCACCTGGTGGGGCCCTCGGACTGCACCCTGCATGGCTTCGTGCATGGAGGTAAGGACAGGGTTGTGTTGGCCACCCCCGAGTGCCCCGGGAAGCTGGGCAGCCGCCTGGCCTAGTTTTAGCACTTGCGCTCGGTGAAGTGTGAATTTAGGCACCAAAGGTCACATGGAAGTTACGGAAACATGTTGGTGCTTGTTTTTAAAATTGGAACGATGGATTGAGAACCGAGTCCAGCAGGGGTGGGGGTCCCACGCGCCTGGGAACTCGGCACCGTGTCGTTGTGGCCCGGGGCTGGGCAAGCCTGGCTGGGCACCTGGCCAGAGTGGCTGCTCGGGCCTTTCTTGCCTTTCTTGCCTCGGTCTTTGCATTTTCTTTACTTCATTGTATTAATTTGTTCATTTTTGTTTTATACCCTTTTTCATTAGTGCCTATACTTTTAGTGTGTTTATTCTTTTTGAGGAAATGGAGATCCCGCCTTAAGCCACAGGCTGTGGAGTTCCTGGCCCAGGTTTCCCGCTGGGTGGAGACCTGCTCTGGGTTCCTCCAGGGACAGTTGTTACCTTAGTGTGGCATTGTTTGTGATGCGGGGCAAGTAGCATATGATAACTTCCTGGATATTGTCATTTTGGTGGAGGAAAAAAAGAATTTGAAAAAACAGAAGAAGAAATGAGGGAGAAAGGAAGTAGAGGAACAGCAGCAACTGTGAAGGTGCTGTTGGGTCCCAGAGCTTACACAGCTGTCCTGCGTGTCCCAAGCTGCTGTTCATCCTTCTCCAGGCACAGCAGGCATTTTTGCATAATGCATTCACTTGTGCTGTCATTTCATGGTGCCTGAAATACCAAGTTCTGTTCTCTTCTCTGCTTGGAGAACTCCTGTTCATCCTTCAGAACCCCAAAGAGCACAACTCTCTGCAGGTTTGCATTGCTGTTTCTACCAAGGATTCTTCAGGAGCAGGGACTGGCTTTCTGTTTGTTGTGGCCCGTGGGCACCATACTGAGTCAGAGAGGCACTTGGCAGATGCTCGTGAATGGGGCACAGAGTGCTTTTGGGCTGAAGGTTAATAGGCCCTTAGAGAGTTCCCCCAGTTTCAGAGGTATTTTAAAAGCTTGTTTCCTTTTTAAAAACGAATGTCCTTTATTTTTCCCTTTTTCCAGTTTCATGTGTGTTTTCATCTCTCCGCTACATGCTGGCTGCAGTGTCCTAAATCTGATGGACTTCGGTCCTGTGGGGGTGGGGGGCAGTACTGTGGCAGGTGCTCTCCAGGCCACCAAGCCCCTGTCCCCGTCACCTGCGCCCCCCCCCCCCCCCCGCCACTAGTTCCAGCTGGGCTTCCATACCGGGAAGAGCCTATGGCTGGCCTTGGTGTCCCCCTCTGCTGAAGCTTGTGAGACACCGTGCTGCAGTGTTCGCCTGTTTTGTGTCCATGTTGGAAGTTTTCCACCGAGGGTGGAATTTCTCACGCAGCCTCCTTGGTGAACAGTGCACGTGTTAAGCCCGGGCCTCTTTCCCTGTGCTGAAAGGTGCCACCAAGAGGCTAGCAGTGCAGAGTCCTTGGAAAACCCGTTGATGGAGTCCGAGCCGCTTCCTTTGATACGGGCACTTTAAAGGCTTTTTGAGACAGTGTATCACTAAGTTGCCCAGGCTGGGCTCAAACTCAGAATCCTCCTGCCTTAGCCTCTAGAGTAGCTGGGTTACAGGCATCAACCATCATGCCCGCCCTCAGGCACTTTTAAAAATGTGTGTTGGAAGTTCGCTTTGTGTTTATGATAGTTAATACCTGCCGACATAGCAGTCCTGTGTGCACAACTTATAAAAATATGCTTACTCATTTTACCAGATCTAATCATCTCTCTGCCTGGAAACCCAGCAGGAGTAAGTGAATAAAATGAAGACTGTGCTGAGAACACCAGGAACTACAATTTCATTGTATTTTCCCATAGAATATGGTTGACAGAAAATGACATCTAAAATCATTTGAGTGAAAGTCTGACTAAGCTGTAATTCAACAGATGCCAATGGCACGGGGAGCAGAAATGGATCCTGTGGAGTGTGGTTTGGAGCAGCTCCCTGAGTCCCCAATGGCTGGGACCTTCACACATTGGCTGGCCGGGGTCTCGGTGGCAAGACTCGTGGGAGTGCATTGGAGAGGGAGGGACCATTCTGGTCGGGAAGCACAGGTAGATGCCAGTGATCACCCAGACCCGAGCTCAGCTCCCTCCCCAGGTCACGGACAGCACCTCCTCTTACTGATGTGGGCATAGGAGAGAGATAGACTGAGCTGAGAGCTGAGGACAGTCATCCTCACGTGTCAGCAAGGAGGCTGGCTGTGGCTCTTGTTCTAAAGCGAAGGGCATCTCTGCGGAGCATGTGCCTGGCTTCTGCTGTCCCCGTGTCCTGAGTGACTGGATCAGGGGGCCACTGTACTCATGCAGAGGATTCGTCCACAGATGAGCTGGTAGCTGAATGTGCTGTTAGGAGGTGGGGCCTGGGTGGAGGGGGCCCTCTGGGGTGTGGCCTGGAGGAATATTCTTGTTCCTGGCTCCTCCTTTCTCTGTCTGCTTCCTGGCTACCACTGGATGAACAGCTTTCCTCTGCCAGACCCTCCCAGCATACTGTTTCTGCCTTGGAGCCAGCTAGCCACAGACTGAACCCTCTGAAACCTTGAGCCAAAATAATAAGTTACAGGTGTTGGGTATTTTGTCCCAACCACAGGGAAGTGACCAACACACCATCCAGAATGGCTGTGTGTGTGTTGGGGGGGGTTACTGGGGATTGAACCCAGGGAGCCCTTTTATGTTTTATTTCGAGACAGTCTTGCTGAGTAGTCCAGGTGGGCTGGAGCTTGTGATCCTCCTGCCTCAGCCTCTGGAGTGGCTGGGCCTGACAGGCATGTGCCAACCATACCTGGCTCAAAATGACTATCGACAAAACAGCTGAGCTCTGGTCCTCCTCCTCGCCCTCCCTCTTGGATTTGCTTCCTGCCACTGTGGCAGCTGCTCTGGCAGGTGGCTCCGTGTCCTGCAGAGCCTTCTGCTGTCCTTGGTGCCAAGTGTCTGGCTTCTGATGCTGTGCTGGCTGGGTGGAGCGCTGCGATCACGAAGGTGCTCACTCAGTGTGGCTCAGTTCCCACTGCCCTGAGCCCCTGTGAGTCTCCCCACATGCCTTGCACCCTATGAAATGCCCCTGCCCAGTGGTGTCTGTGCCAGCTTTCCCTGGTGAGTCCACCCTCTGCCCTCCTCCTCCAGACTGGACAGCTTGGGCCGCCCTGCTGCAGGCTGCTCTCCTGGGAGGACTTTGCACTCGCCCGGTCGGCTGCTGGACTCCGAGGTCCTCTGTTTTTCTGGGCTGGTTTGCTGGCTCACGTCCTCGGTAGCCTCTTAGCAAAGGTCACATATCAGCTGGGCCAGTGCTCAAGGGAAACGGGTGCTGCTGAAGTTGGGCGAAGTGGCGCTGATGTTCCCGGAGGAAAAGTGGGTAGCTTTGAGATGGTGTTACTTAAAAAGGAAACTTAAAAATACTGAAGTGTTGGAACTGGGAAAAGAATAACAAAGTCCTCCCACAGGAAGGAGGAGGAAGGAGGAGGAAGGACTCAGGCCGCGAGGCTGCCTTTGCACCTCTGTCTTGCAGCCCCAGGTCCCTGCCAGCCCCCAACCCCACTCTGTGCCCCCAGATTCAGATCCTCAGGATACAGAGCTGAGCAGCCTGAGCCGAGACCACTGTCCCGTCCTGTGCTGCCCCCCCATCTGTGTCCCCTCTGCAGACACACAGGCCTGGCACTTGGGGTGCAGAATGTGAGGGTGAGGCTCTCACTGAGCCCCCGTAACCGCAGTGATTCTGCCTCCACCGGAATCCTGCGGCCCCACAGAGCAGGCGCCCCGTCAGGGGAATAAGTGGACGCTCTGGGGAGTGCTCTTCCTGCTGGACATGTTCCTGTGCTGGTCTGCAGCACTGTGGGCAGAGGCGCCCCCAGCTGTCACAGCCCCTGGGTGTGGGGAAGTGCCCGCTGTGCGGGGCCCCACATTCCAGAAGAATGACAGGATAGTGTCTGTCCCGAAGGCTCTCGGCAGCCAGAGCCACCAGGGCTCCACCGTCCCACTGTGCTTGGCCTTTGCTGGCCAGCAGGTGCCCTGTCAGCCAGTGGCCCAAGGGACAGCAGCGGGGCCTTGCAGCATTGTGGCCTCCACCCGCTTCCAGTCCAGCGCCCTGTGCTTCATCCAGGCCTCCTCTCTGCCCGACCCCGAAGCTGCCTGCCTGTCGTGTGGCCTCTGAGTGGCCGGTCTGTGGTGGGTACGGTGCTCTCGTCCATTGCCCCTCCTCGGAGCCTCCCTGGCCACCCCTTTGCTCACTGATGTCCCTTCAGGGCCCCATCCTCCTCTCCGCCCTCCTTCCTCCCGGACCCACTTCCTCCTGCCACCCGCGGCCCAGCTTTTCCTGTGGGCGCTGGCAGCCTCCTTGGCGACTCTCGGATATAAGGTCAGACCCGGGGCTCCTTGGCCCTGCCCAGGCCCAGCCTCCCAGCCCCAGGGACAGTCTCTGTCTCTTCAGGTGCAGTGGGGGTCCTGTGGGGGTCCCTGCCTTGGCTGTGTCCCTCCCACCTGTCAGCAGGTCCTCTGAGTGCCACCATCACGACACGTCAATGTCAGCTCTCACCTCCAGTCGGCCCGGGCCATCGCTCTGGTCTCTCGCTGGTCACCCCTCCCCGCATCTCAGTCTCCCCAACACTGCAGCTTGGGATCTGCAGGGAGAAACTCCCAGCCCCTGACTCGGCTGCCGCTGCCCTCCAAGCCCTCCTGGAGTTTGTCTCCCCAGCAGCCTCCCTGCTGCCTGGGTCACCCTCCACCATCCAAGGTCGGCTCCTGCTGGCCGGTCACAGGAACACCTGCAGCTCCTCACCCGTGGACTCTCTGACCCCCACTTTCTTTCTTCTGGCCTATGAAGAAAAGGAGCAAGGCCCGAGTTTCCGAGCACTTGGTGTGAACAGGCTGGCCCTCACCCTTGGCCCTGCTCTGGCTGACTTGTGCTCTGCTGCATACCCCTTAGAGCAGGGCTGT